ATCTTTATTATTTCCAAGTGGGTTATAATATTTATGGCACTGTGTTGGCATTCTTAACAAATGTTTTTAGAACGTAGCTGCTGTTTTGATGTTTTTTTTTATTTGCTGTCAGTCATGTAATGCAAAATATATAATGGTGAATAATGTTTGTAAAAAATATAATGAAAGAATATAAGAATTATAACTTCTTCGTCGTTAGAATGTCATATAAAGCTTTTATAATTTTACGAGTTCGTTAGGACTTAAAGGAGAACTGAATATGTACTTTGTGGTTTTTTCGAATTATGATAGACATTGGGAGATATTTGGAGGTCGACTGACTTAATGCATTATGCAATCCTTCAGACTAATCATGCAACCACGTGATCATTCCTTGCTGCAAAATTTCAGTCGTTTTATGTCATATATTTTTAAGAATCTCATTATCACATTATTTTGTTAAGAAACGCAGATACTATTCCGACTGACACCGGTAGACGATCGAGATGAAACTTGGCGGGTGTTATGAGAGGTGTGAAAGGACTCCAAATATAAAATCTTAGCTTCGGGAATTCATACGTTCTACTCATTGACTATTTAAAATATTATATTTTTACTAAATTGTTCGTGTGTAATTATTACAAGAAAAAAAGTTGTACTTCAGAAACCGTGCATACAGGGTGCCCTATCGTTACACTGCTAACCTCAAATATCTCAGTCATTTCAAGTACTAAGCGGAAACATTACTTACAAGAGTTGTATGATTGAAATCTACAAGTCAATTGTTTTTTTATTGGAATGTCCAATTTGTTATAGTCAAATTCTGAGTGTAAAAGTATTACGGTACACTTAACCTAAAACTCATCGTTCCTGAGATATTCGACTTTGTCTATTTTATCATTTTCTTTACGAAACTTGGTCAAAGCTGCACTACATCGAATGTAAACAAACAGTAGATAGTAAGTATCGCGAAATGGCGTTCTTAAACTTTCGACATATCTCAGTATTAATAAGTTTCTCATTCGGTAATCGTAAAGTTGGCAATGTAAAATTTTTATTTCAATAATAATTAAATATGCCCCTTATTTATGGACAAAGTAGGAAAAATTGAATTAAAGTAAATTAGAGCACGAGCTTCGTACGTTGAAAGATCTCCGAAGCGCACATGTCCTTCATATCGGATGTTTGAAAAATGTGTCTGAAAATGAGAAACCGGAAGTCTCGTATGAACAGTTGTAAAAATTCTGCGAAATTAATGTTTTTGCAATTGTGAATCATGGCCTTCGGATTAGTATACGCCATATTGAACATCAGTTCGGGATTCTTGTATCACGAATTCTTGCTCGTCGCAAAAGTTATGTTGCATGGATTTTGTGAACCGTTAGATTTTGCGTATATGTTCAAGAACAGTTGCAAATTGATTTAAACTTCTTCTTCTCTTTGATATTATTCGTAAGGCTACGATAAGACTACTTTTGCTGAACCTGGAAGTGATAATTTACATAATTGCACTATTAATTAGCGGAGAATCCTCACTGGCTGCGACAAATTGAACACTAAAGAATATCTCAGGAACGGTGAGTTTAAGGATAAATGTACTTTGGTACTTGTGTACTTAGAATTCGCTGTTCTATTGAATTTCACTGAATTGACCGGTAAAGAAACTATTACTATTATGTTATGTCATTCTTGCAACCATGCAACTTTGAAAGTAATGTTCGTGCTTATTACTTGAAATAATTGAAATATTTCAGGTAGACAGAGTTTTAATGAGGCTCTCCTTATACAAGGTGATGCGCTACAAATGTAACCTTCTTCGTATCTTTTTTTAAATTGATGGTATAAAAAGTACGTTAGCGGGAAAAGATGGTTACAAAGGGCAAATACGAATAACACTTTTT